CCTGCTCTTGTGCAAGTTAAATTTGTATAGTTTAGGGATATTATTAAGTGCTTGTCATGGCTTCCCATTGGTTTCAGTAACAGAGTTACACAGATGGAGACAAATAGTCCTCTAAACACATTTCAGGCTGGCAGTGATATAATGTAACAAGGTAGTAGATGTTATGATTTGCTCTGTTCAGGCAAACCTTTATTATTTTAAATATGCATACTGTTTTTTTTCTGTAGATATAAATGACACTTGCAGAAGGCATTGCATGATAGTCTAGGTTTTGCAGTAAAAGGAATTGTTTAATCCAACCTCTGATGACCTGTGTCTCTGCTTCATATTTCAGAACAGAGGAAACAATTTTGGTGTTGCAGTTCATTCTACTTTGTCTGTTGGCTTTTCTGCCTCAGAGCTCATGTACCACATGTCCATTTTTTCCTAAGCTGTATTTGAACTCTTCTTCCTTTCAGATGCTTTGTAACCTAACTACCCGCAAATGAAGCACTTCATTTATTCCATGGGCAGCCCAGGCACAAGTGTGAAATCCCTTCAAACATTATGGCTTTAACTTTTTTTTATAGGGGACATTCCATTTGGTGGAATAAGTTACATTTACCTTTTGCATCTGTTTTATGAGTGATATATAAATGTTGTTTACTGTTAAAATGGTGCATGGTCTTTCTGTAGTGTCTGTGTTTTATTAGAGTAATTTAAAAAGAAATCCACTAAAACGATGCTACTAGTGGGTGTCTGATTGCCAAGTTAATCTCTTATCACAAGTCCCATTGATCTTCTGTTTGAGCAGCTGAGTCTGTTTTATGTATAGCGATCTTTCATAAAGTTTATTCCTGGTAATAAAGCTAACTGGGGTGAGTGCCAAGCTATTCTCAGAGGCAATCCGCTCTCAACAGGAGAGGGATTTTATTTTGTTAGATGGGGTTATTGTTTGGGTATGTACTTGTGGCAGAACTAGTGAAATGGCTAGCGAGTGAGTCAAACTAGGTTCAGAGGTGTACTCTTACTGGTATGAAGTTAATGGCATTACTGCGCAATAGACATTCAGATCTGGCTTTTAATATGATGCCCAGAGTCATGTGCATTTTCTACTTATTACTGTATGGTATTACTAACTTGGATTGTTAATCTCCTCTGTGGTGTGGCAAAAACCTTAAAAAAACCAACCAAAAAACCCCCACTACAAAACAACAAAAAGACCCTCCATCCTAGAATTTTACATGTATTAGGTGCATTCTATTTTCTTACATGTAAGAGGAAGTAATTTTATTTCACAGAACACACCAGTATCGATGTGTCTGAAATTATATTGTTTTTCAGAGTTCTGAAATCTTTCTTACAAATGGCATTTGTGTTGAGATACTTGGTGTCTTCACACCAAACTTACTTGTAAATTTAAAGAAATGTAATTCAGAATATTAGTAGTTAATCTTCAATGAAGTTATTTTGTGAAAAGTAAAATTTAACTTTTATTCAAGTTTACTTAAGCTTTATTCCAGAGTTTCTGAAGTATTACTGTATATTCAGGAGAGTTTAATAGATGCCAGGGCACATGTTCTTTTAAGCTAATAGTTTGTTAACATTCATATGAAAATGGCAATCTTACTGCTATGCACAGCAGTCTATAAATTCCTATAGCCTTATGTTTTGGGAAGCAGTGATGGTTTTGTATAGCTCTGTGCAAGTGCTTGACATTGCAAGGACAGGTTGCAGGCCTTGATCAGTTCCTCTGCTCTTGTCTGAAAGCTGCACTGATGGGGACTGGCACCTACCTTCTAGGAAACCAATTTCAAGCCACCTTATCTCACCCTCTTGTTGCAGTAAATTTTATATTATTGGCCAATATCCTGTCTTGGATTTTCTCCTGCCCTGGTGACCTGGATATAGAGGAGTGCTTATAATAATACCCTCATGGATGCAAGGGGTAAGCACAGATGCAGATGGTGAGAGGAGCATATGGATCTGCACATATTGCACACAGTGGCCTTGGGATGGGCAGGGAATGGGGCAGGATTTGCACCCCAGGTATTGACATACCAAGCTGAGGAAGTTGATGGGATGCTGAGGATTCAGTAGGAGGAGGAGAGCAGAGGGATGCAGCATGCCCTGGTGTTTGCTGTGAGGTAGGCTGCTGAAGGGGATAAAGTATGTAAATCTCTAGTAACATGTTTCTCCTGTTGTGCTCAAGGCAGGCAGTGATGTCTCAGAACTACCTGAAATAACTCATTGTAACCAGGGAGGCAGGTCACTGCTCAAGCTGCTTCATTGGGCTCTTAGCAGCTTCAGTCAGCCTAGCTGCAGCCCATTGCTGTTGACATATTTGAAGAGACTTTTTTACCATCCATCACAAAATTTAACCTTCCTTTTACATTTCTCCATGAAACCAGGAGAAAAGCACACCAAAAAATTTAGAACACACTTTTATCATGCAGTAACACATTACTTTCTGAAGAGAAAGGATTAATTATCATATACATATAAACAAACTGGAGAAAAAGGAGACAGTGTCTATGATTTCATCTAATATCAACTATTTGTTATCATGGTGGGAACAAACTTTTTTTTCCTATTGCTCCTCACCACTCAAATTTAGTGATATATTTTCCAGTAATTGGCAACTGACTGCAAGTGATGAGTAGGCTGCATCACTGCCCTGCTTGCCCTGTGGTGCTCTGGATGGTGGCTTGGTGTGAAGAGCTTTATATGATGAAGCAGAAGCAGCTTAGCTTTAGCCAGGCTGATGTGCTGTTGGAGCTACTGATTACCACGTGGTGATGGGAGCATGATATAGAGCATCAAAGTGTACAGATTTGTAATTGCAGCTGGTGATGTCCTTATGTCATTGCTGCTTTGAGCTGAAAAATGTGAATGTGTCAGTAATTCAATCATCAATGAAATGCCTATATTTTAAACTATTTAGAGAGTCTTGTGAGACCTTTGCATCTCCTGGGTAATAATGAAATTAAACAGTGCTCTCTGGCAACTTTGCATTATTTCTTTAAAAATAACTATTATCTGAAGCATTGTTCTAAAGTCAAACTTCAGGGTTTTTTTTGGTTTGTTGGTTTTTTGGTTTTGGGTTTTTGGTTTCTTGTTTTTACCCAGCTTAATTCTTTTCATATGGAACTTTTAGTGTTGGATTTAAAACTCAATGCTAGTCTACACTTTTTTTTTTTATATTAGATCAATTTTGGATTTTCTCTAAATCAAAAATATTTTTGTGTGAATACCTTACACTGAAGTTTGGAAACAAAATGCTGAAATGTTTGAGCTAATTAGAAATACTTCGAGTATAGAACTGACAAAGTTGCACTCTTAATGGAGTAGTTTAAAGTGTGATGCTGTTTTTTACTGGCTAAACTCTGCTTTTGTCATATGTGTTGTATGCCAGGTAACTGTAGATCAGGAATAGTCCTCTTGAAATAAAGAGTTATTTCTTTACAATGGAAAACTTGTATTTAGTATCTGATCAGCAATGTGCTGGTCTGCTCTGCAGCTTTATTGCATACTGGGAGAGAAAAACCCATATGTTACCATGAAGCCACTATGTTTGATCTGCTTGGGACTTATTTAGCAAGTAAGAATGTTAATTTAGTGTATACTGGCTAAGATAACTAGTTGTCTGGGGGGGGTCAAGGTACTGACTTCAGAGGCATTTCTGAACAAAGATGTTGCAGTTGGTGGGTGGATGGCACTGGTCTCAGCTGTTGTATGAGCTTGCATAAATAGTATCATCTCCACTTTAATCTTTCGGGTGTTCAGAGGTAGTGTGCATATTTCTGTTTAACCCCTGGACACTTGCTGGCATGCATGACCCTTTAACAATTCCTATCCCTCCGTCCATCCCTGGCACCTTGGCTCCAAACAGTCTGGGAGGATAGCCAGTAATTTTGAAGTTTTTTGTTAAGAACATCTCTTTAACAAAAAGTGTTTTCATTGCAGCAGTATACACTTTCTATTGTGCTTGTTGCAGTAGTGTGTGGACACTTCTGGAGTACTACTTGCATTTCCACTGTGCAATGCTTACTCCCCTCTATGTGCAAGTATCAGTTAAAAGATATTAAAACCGGTGATGATGGTTACTGGGCTTTGGCATCAGGAAAAAAAGCTTTTTTTTATATTTCAAGCAGCATCAAGGACTGGAGCTGTGTGTTTCATAAAGAAAGTTGGCTTTTAAGCTGTTTTAAGATAAGCATTTGATTTGCTTTACCTTAAATTTTGAGAATGAAACAGATACTTAAACAGTCAGTCTTCATGAATCTGTCTCTCTAAAATTAATGTGCCTTTTCTCACCAAGTTTTATATTTCTTCAGAGGCATTGGTTTAATAGAGCAGTTTTAAAGGTTATTAGGCTTGTGGCTGTTGTGCTTTGTGGGGAAGTATCCAAGGCCTTTCAAGCATCAGAGCTTTCTGTGGATTCCTCTCCTATTTTTTTTTTTTTTTTTATGGGGGGAGAGGGAAAAGATAGTAGATGGTGTATTGCAGGTGTTGCTTTGGGCAAACTTTTATCGCTTTTGGTGCTATAAATTCAATCATGATCAAACAGCAACACGGTAAGTGTAGCAAATGCAAAGAAGGGCCAAAACAAACTTCAGAGTGACCTCAACTATCAGATCAATAGAAATAGGTGAAAAGTGAATTGTCCCTGAATCTAATTCCTGTAAAGCCCTGTGCACAGGGAACAAAAGCAAATAGCAAGGCTGGGAAATGGTTGCAATAAGTTGGTTTCTGTTTTGTAGTGTTGACTGCACAGGTGCCAGCTTTCATATTGCTCAAAGACTTGAATTTCTTCTGTGAGGATGGAGCCTTGTTGTCTCCAGAGATGGTTCATCCAAGGATCTATATTCCTGAAAGTTTGACTTGTTCTAGTTTGTCTTAGAAGAAACTGAAGTAATAGTCATGTTAAAATGCTAATGAAAAAATTTAAGGAGACTGTAGGTGCTATTACGTTATTGGACATCATTTAGTTATATTATTCCCCCTTATTTTTTTTATAGCAAACTTTGGCCTGTTCCATTCTAACGGCGTTGTTGAGCGAGTTCTCAAGTTCAAGTAAAACCAGCAACATTGGACTAAGCATGGAGTTCCATGGTAACTGTAAACGTATATTTCAGGTAAACTAGTTCTCTATTGATATATGCTACCTCTCTTTCTAAAATTTAAACGTTGAGAAGCAGAAGTACTTCCTTGTGCCAGGTGCATTCAGGTACACTGTGCCTAAAAGCATTTAATAGGATAAATATTATAAATGCAGATACTGGCTACTTCAGGAAAATCGATCATGTATTTTTAAAAACTTGTATCACAAAGGTGCAATCCCTTTGTGCCCATTTTATGAATGTAGAGCTACAGATCTTTATGCAGTTGGACTCTTTAATTCCTTGGCTACCAATTGCAAACAAAACGAATACTCCGTGGAACAATGATAGTCTTAAATATAGCTTTGGTTTAAAGCCAAGGAGAGCTATGTATTTAAAAATATTATTGCAGATGGTGTAGTCTGGTTGTCTCAGATGTATTGTTTGGCCAGTCAGAAATGTTTTTGTGAAGGCATTGCTTTAAACTGACTGTTGTGGAACAACTTACCAACTTTTTTTCATGCCAAAGACCAACTCTCTTCTCCACCAGTTGTTAAAAACATATTGGTTTTTTATCTTTTAACGACTAGCATTTATGTGAAGGTTTTTTTCATAGTCTTTGCAGACTTAATTTATTTTTGCGAAAGGAGGGGTTCTTGCTGACAACGTCAGAATATTTTCTGTATTTTAATAAAAAATAGGGTGAAGCCAGAAAATTCTTTACTCTTCAGCAAAATATTTTAAATTAACATTTTAATTACTAACTGAGATGCTCAATATATTGTGTTCGTCCTGACTATAGGAGGACGATCTGCGACAGATCTTCATGCTCACAGTAGAGGTACTTCAGGAATTCAGCAGACGTGAAAACCTCAATGCTCAGATGTCTTCAGTGTTTCAGCGTTATCTTGCACTAGCCAATCAGGTCTTAAGCTGGAACTTCCTTCCTCCAAATTATATCCTTTTCATGTCAGGCCCTTTGTTTCTGTTGACTTGGGTCACTTCTAGTGGGTGAGAAGTAAAGTCTTTGGGAAGAGAAAAACATAAAACTTATAAACCTTATATTTAGTGCTTGGTTTATGTTCTCATCCATTTTGGTCACCACCATGCTTGCTAACAGATTCTTACATACAGAAGGTGCTGTTGGTCTTCATTAAAGTGTTAAAGTATTGTACATAAAAGGCAAAACTAGCTCAGCAGAGCCTGTGACAGGTTGATGGCCTGTCTGGTCGTGCAGGAAAGAGGGAAAGTATAATATCCTGCTTTAGTGCAGAACCATATGGTGAAGAGGTCTAAGCTTTGTTTAATTTTTGTGCAGAGATTGGTTCTGTCCTACTTTTCTCCCTCAGAGAAGAGGAGGGGGCAGGCAAATGCCCCATCATCTAGGAATGTACATGCTAAACCAACTCCTCACAGAAGATCATGGATGTATTACTAGAACATGTAATAGATTCTCTTCGGTCTGAAAAACAAGTATTGTGTAGCTGAGAGAAGAAGTGGCATCTCCTTTTTACACAGGTGCCATTGCTTCCATTTTGACATTTTTGTGATGTGTGCTGGTTATTAGTCCAGAGAAAGGTTGAGTTGGAAAGTAGAGGAGGAAATTGGAATTAGGAGGAGAAAGGGTCTTACTGAGGGAGAGAAGAAAGAAGATACAGAAATGCTCAGTCCAAAAAATGGGCTGGACAAATATTTTAGAAATATTCAATCATATCCTGTATGTGATAGAGCTGCATAAACGACAGCGTACATAGTAAGTCATTATAGCACCTCTTTTAATAGCTAGACTGTCTTTAAGAAGCTCAGCAAACTTTCCAAGAACCAAATTGCTAATCTGGTTTCTAAACTTTTTTCTTGAAACCTTTTGAAATTGCTACCAAGTTATACATATTGCAGGAACCTTTTTGTTGCCTTCTAATCCACTGTGAAAGATTTTATTTGCTTTCCTGGTTTGACAGTCAAAAGGTGATACCTGTGTGGGTTTTTGTCCCTGAGTCTGTTCCTTGTGCAGTAGGCAGCAAAAGTAAATTTATTTGAAACTGGATATTCCTTGTTTCATGTCTGTCAAGCAGAATACCAGTTATATTGGCTTTAAGGAAGGTGCTATGGATTAAAAGTAAATATACCACTTGTATTCGCCATTGAAGTAATTTGGCAGGGGTTCAAAGAGGAATTTAGTGCATGTGCCTGCAAGACTGAGTCTGTAGTCAAATTATTGCACCTTATAAAAGGTTTTGGATGTGGATTTGGGATTTGTAAGAATTCAAATAAAGTGTGAACACTTCCTTTTTTTCTAAGCTGTTATCTTAAATAGAAAGGAAATGCCCTTGTGTTGTGCAGTGGTGGTTCCCTCTGACTTTTGTTCTTCCTCTGTACAAATCTATCATGTAGTCCTAAATGCTTAACTTGTTCGAGTTTGAAAGTGAAGGCCAGGGTTCTTCGTGAGCTCTTTATCCCAGGCTGAGGTTTGCAGTGGTAGAGCTAAACAGATACAAGTGAGGTGTGGAGCTTGGGAGTTCAACTTTCCTTTATCCATCTACATAATATGAAGTGATTAATCTATAGGTGCTAGTAAATAAGTGTTAATGGAAATAGCAAAGCAAACCATACTGCTGTTTAAGGTTAACAGTGTTTTCTGCTGCTTGACTTCTTTAGTACTACAGCAGTTAAACAAATCTGGCCATTTCCGGAGACTGGATGGATCTTTAGTCTGAACCACAAGTGCTCTTACATGGTTCTATTTCAAATACTTTCATAATTTCTTATCCACTTGATAACACCTTTTTATTTTCTACCATTGGATGTTTCATTCTGCTTTAAGAATTATAGCACCAGCTCTGGCCTTCCTCCTCTATGTTCTATGTAGCAGCCTGTTTTCATGGAAGTTGAAATGTCTTCAGTCATCCTTGAGAAATGTGGGCCTTAGCTGCCAAAGGTTTAGTGACTGTTGGAGTTTACAGTGCCATGTTCTTCCTTCAGAAGACTGGTTTAAAAGTACCTGTTGATTGTTAGCTCACAGGCAGTGAAGCTTAACTAGGCTGAAGTTTCTAAATAGATAACACATTGCGTAAGGCTGTACGAATTGCTGTGTTGATTGATCGGTTGGTATCCTTTTGGTATCCTCTTTCCAAACCTTGACAGTACATATGCTAAAGCAATGGGCATAAATTTAATACTTGAAGCATGGAGTAAAATGATCCATTGTATTCTTGGATATATCTTTTATCCTTTAGTTGGTATTTCCCCTGGCAAGATAGTTTTGATTCTCGGTATTCCCTGCAGCATCACAGTAATCTGCAGTATATTTATCTAATCTTTTAGCAAGATTCTTGTACCTCCAAAAAAGGAAAGTAGCATAAATGTGTATTGATTGTACAGTGACCATTGCCAAGAGGTATGTTATTTAAATCCCCAAATTGTGAGAATTGCATCAAAACATATCACTTCTCAAGAGTTGTGTGCTGTTGCAGGACGACTTGCTAAGTGTTGCATTGCTAAATGCCATCTTGGACAGTGCTGCCACCAGTCATAACAGAAGAGCTGTAGTAAGTCTGTATTGTCTATTGCTAGCATGAAAGATGCATTCTGGAGTAGTCACCTCATTGGAGCAGTGAAAGAAGAGAGGCTGGGACCTACCTGTTTTCAAATACGGAACTCTGTATATTGAAAGTGTCTTGGGATGTAGTACCTGCAGTAGGAAGGACATGGCACAGTGACTTGCGAGGCCTTTCTTCAGTCATGTGCAGTTTCTTCCACTTAATTTTTTAACACACAGGCAATCATCTATTGTTTTTATTTGCTACCTTGAGATTTTAGTTCACCTGGTGTTTGTGGACGCTTCAGAGGTAGTATGGTGTGCATGTTGGCTTCTGTAGTTTCTTTTTTAGTGCTGTTACAGGACTGTTAAATATTGTTTGCTTGAATGGAACTACTTTTATCTGCGTCTCCTCTTAAATGAATGTTTTGATTAATTAAGGAAGTGCAGGTGATCAGTACTAAGAGGTGCAACCCTCTTCTTTTCAAGAGTGCTTGTGGGACTCTCACCTCTAGTACATTGTGAGTACCCAAAATCTCCAGTTAAGGAGCTGAATGTTGCTGGGCTTTAATGCACCTGGTCATGGACATATATGTTCAGTGGAGTCAGGATGTAATTATAATTTGTTATTTTACCTGCAGAGATGTTTCTCTCATCTTGACTTTGGGATTTATCTGTTCTTGGCAGCCACATTCTAGTAGGCTTTGGATGAATGTCCTCAAATGCAGAAGTTCTTAAACAGAATGTAAATTTTTGTCCAGCTGTCTCCCATCTGTAGAAAAGTGTCTATTATCTGTCACTAGGAGTTGTCATAGAACTACTTATCCCTTAGTCTTTAACGTATGGATTGTAGTATGTGAATAAAGAGAAACCTGAGCTTTAGCTCTCATTTTGAATTTGGTGGCTTTCCTTGCTCAGAGGCAAGCTGGAGAATTTTCAAGTGAATGTAGAGTAGGGGATTTAAAATGCAGGTTGTGTTTCCTAATGGGTTGCTCTCTACTAGTATGCATTGTTGCTGTTTCCATTGAAATTAATGGTGCAATAGCAACTGCATGAACTGACGGAAGCTTTTGTCTGAGCTGAACATTTTTATTTTTTTTAAGTGTGTGTGTGTGTGTTCCTTGGCCACACACTTAAAGGAAGCCAGCTCTTCATATCTCTGTTTTGAAATGTCTTTTAAACCTCAAGCCAGAATGAGACACCTTTCTGGGAGGTTCTGTGGACCATATTATGCTGCAGACTTTCAAGATCTGAACTCAGTCCAACACAGATTGGTAGCATCTGTTGTGCATAATGGAAGTGCATGAAAAACACACAGAATGCTCCAGGGAACTCAAAGTTTGTTCTGAGGAATGATTCAAGTTGGCATTGCTGCTGGAAAAGCATTCTGCCATATTGCCTCACATGAGCACGATACTGAGCAAGGAACCACCTGGCTCAAAATGTTTTTCTAGCAGGTTGAAGCCCCCAGTTTGATTTGTTGCGCAGCTACAGTAGTGATTGAATCTGTACCAAGGAGTGGCAACACAGATTTCCTCAGCAACAGAGCTGCTCTCCATAGGCCTTGTGTTTGCTAGCTAGCAGTCTGGAATTACCCTGAATTTACCACAGCAGTCTGTCCTTGTCTGAAAAGTGAAGGGTTGGGGCACTGTCCTGCCTATTGTTTGGTGTATATAAAAAAATTCAATGTAACTGAAATAGCTGTATTTAAGAAAATGTAAAAGAGAGCTGCATTTTACTTGTATCAGTCAAAACTGACCTGACGCTGATGTTTAGAGATTATTTCTAGGGTACTATGTGTTTTCTTGACAATCCTTTCTAGCAACGTTTTAAGACAAACTTGGGCAAAATCAAGAAGAATGACAGATCCCCTGAATTTTATTATATTTGCACTAAATGCATTTGTATTGATATTGAACTTTTTAACAATTAGTCTTTCATCATTTAAGTTTTCCTGAATGAATTCTGAAATCAGTTTGTAATGTAAGAGCATCTTGAAAACATTTAATATCAGAAGAGGAAAAGGGACCAGTAATGACTCATTTTATGAAATTGATAAAATATATAGGTGTTTTTTCTCTTCTGTCTTGCCCCAGTGGTTTTATATTTCTAGTTTTGCAGTGATCAGTTGTCAGTTTCCTAGATGGCAACATGGATATAGTGGAAAGGTGTGATTCAAGATGCACCTTCAAGGCAGTCACTTGTGTATAGGTGCTTTAAGTGCAAGTTAGGCTCAAATTGACTAGCTTGGGATACCGTTAGCTCTACAACCATAGAAGCAGAATGTGTCAGGAACTGCAGAATCCACTTGGGTGGTCATGAAACTTGGCACTGTCATGGCTACACTGCTAGTAGCCCTGGAATCGGTCAGGTTTAAAATTAGCTTGTGTGTTCCTACACTTCCTACACCTGTTGCTGTGGTCCAAGTTGTGTCTCCAATACAAAGTAGTTGTTTCATTCACATGACTGTTAACAATACTTGTGTTTAATAACTGAATATTTAAGCATATGTTCCTTGTCCTGGATGCTGGATGTGTTTGTTGAGAGTCTTAAGGTACGGAAAGGTCTGGGAGACGTTTCTCCATAGGGGGCAGCAAGCCTCTACAGCAGTTTGAGGCAGTTGCTCCTTATGCATGTCCTATGTGCTTGGCTGACCAGCTAGCAAGCCAGAGGGAGTCTTAAAAAAATCCAGATAAAATCAGCATGTTAACAATATAACACTGGATGGCAGATCTCCAAGCTGTTACCTTTCTAATGCAGTTCTTTGTAAAATGCAAGTCTAGGACTGGCTGTCCAGGAATATCTCAGACAACAAAGGTAAAGTTATTAAAATAACTTTAAAGAAAAATATTCAGGCCTTAGCACGTCAGGAGTTTTCTCCATTTCTGAGTTGTTCTTCACCTCTGGACAAATTTGTGACTGGGGTTTTCGCAGAAGAAATCTCAGGTTTGATTTTTGGGTTCCAAACTTAGTGCTTTGCAGAAGACCAAACCTTGCCTCTCTTAGGAAGAAGAACGTGGTATCCGTTCTCAGATGCTGTAGTTTCTGGGATGTTCTGAAGTGAAACATTATAGTCTCTTGTGGTTGCCTTATGATATGAAATATTTTGATACTCATCTACACCTATCAGCCCCTTCCTGAGGCAGAGGCAGAGAGTGGGAGGAAAACTGCACATTTGTTGGTCTTTTATTTTCCTTTTTAATACATTCCTTCAAAGACAAAATCTTTCTTTAAACATTATGGTCTTTTCTTTTTTTCTGGGCATTAATTACTGAGCATATGAGTCTTACCATACATGAAGGCATCTAGTTATATTCTTCTGCTTTTCAGTAGAGCTTGGTTCACATTATTGAATAATCTGTTCTGATTCATATAGAAGATTCTAGTCTCTGAAGGAATCAGTGTCCTAACAGTGTCCTACGTATTGCAAAATGGGTGGAATACTGGCATGGTTCTGGTAGCTGTTTCCTTGATTGGGTTTCCCTGTCATTCAGAGTGAATTGTAGTAAGAGTTAATCATTCTTCAGTAGAACTAGGAATGTTAGAAACATTTGTATTTATTACCAGAAGTGGTTTACAATTGTTTTTCATTTTAGAAACAAACAAACAAAAAACCCAAACCCTCTGGGACATCATGGCAGACTGATCTATGCTTATCCTAAATCTGTGTTACAAGTCTAAATCCTAAGTCTGAGCTTGAATGCTGAGAAATGAGTGTTGTGCTAGTTTTGTACTTTTTGTTTCCTTGTAAGTATTGAGAAGTAAATTAATTTTTGATGATGAAGACTGCATTTATCTTGTGTACACCATATGCTAGGTAGTGTAGTGCCATTTTATTCAGGTTTGGCATAACTAGACTGCTGCTAATAAGGCTGAACCACAGCAAAATATAATCTGGGGTATTTCTTGGCAGCAAGCATCTCTACAGCCAACTTCTGCTAAGATTTGCATACATTCAGTATGTGATGGAAAATGGATGCAAGATCTCCATCACAGGTGGAGGCATAATTTGTAGTGTTCAGTGAATAGGTATTTTACCCACAAATCTGCTATTGTCAGATGTATCATCAGTCCATTAGTGTGAGAAACAGGACTAAAAATAACAGGATAGGGCTGTTAAGTAGTGAGCCTTGTTAAACTAGGGACAGCAAACTTGCCCTTCTTTCATTCCATGTGAAAAGCATTTTGTAGCTGGTCCCCTCTGTGGGCTCAATCTAGGGAAGAGCAAATTTATTTTCAGATATTGATGCTGTAACTGTGATCATCTTCTGATACTGATGTATTTCCAAGCCAGTTGGTTATTGGAGAGTTACAGCAAAGAGTAGTCTTGTCAACAAATGATTTTAAAATACTGTTTTGACTAAAACATTGCTAATTAAAAGGAAAAAATACATAGCTTATTTTGACAGATAACATTTGTTTTAATTTGTAATATTACTCCTCATAAAGGATGCTTGGGTGTGATTATTTCATGTCCATGTTCTTTTTTTCATTGGGGAGAACTGAAGCATTTTTGATTACTTGAATTACACCTGTATTTCAGATGGAAGTAAAATAGAATATTCTGCGATTTTTAGTTTTTCCCCATCTGCAATAAATGAAACTGGTTTTGTTTTGCACTAATGTGAAAATCCCTGATTGTTCTCATGCAGTATAATGTGCTGAAAACAGTTCTGCACACATAGTACCAGTGAAGGTCCACTTGGTTATGTGCTGTGAAAAAAGTCCCTTTTTTGGAATGTGGTTTTGCACAGTGTTGTTAGGAATTTCTTCTTTTGGCTGAGCTCAGAAGACAAGTGTGAACAAACTAAAATTGTGCATCCTGTGCTGTGCCACAATTCTTCATATTAAACTAGATGCTTGCTTTAAATATTGTTCCCTTTAACAAAACCCATCAAAAGCTAAGGGGTCTTCTTTCTTGAAACATACCATTGTAAAATTAATTTTCTTCTAGACACAGAAATAGTTTTTGATACATGGTTTTTATAATACCTGATTATTTACAGTACACAATGCAGTTTATTACCAGTAAATAAATACATGCAGCTGAACGTGCTGTTACTCTGATGGTTGGGTTAGAAAGGGATGAAAGACGATAATATAGGGTTTAAGAAAGAGAAATGAAAATGTGTTGCTGAGTTAAAGCAGTTTTACTACTACTTGGATTGGGTGGTATCACAAAAGGAGGCACTTCCAGAATTCTTTGATAAACACAACTCTGTGTGATCAGACTGACAGAGAATTGAACCTGCTTGTTTAAATGTTTTTGCTCATGTCTCAGCTTTTTTCTGTACTAGAACAAATGCAGAATTTTGTAAATCAAGTTATGCCAAAATCCATGGTGAGAGCTGAAATGAGTGCAGCAAAATCATGGCTTCGCAGTGTGCTCATTTTTCATGTGTGTCTCTTACAGACATGTTTAATATGATGATGCCTTGTGCTGTCCTATGCTTTTGTTCTTCTCAGTGTGATTAGAAAATGTAGATTAATGCAGGGCTAACAGATCTGCATTCTGTGACACATTTGGCTATTTAGAAAAATAGGATATGGATTTCAATGAGCTATCTTTAGCTATGGTAAGACCTTTTTAAAAGCTGCCAGGAAAATTTTTTAGGAAATTATTTCCTATTTTGCATAAATTTTAACACCTGTTAATTGCGGTTGCTTTTTTCCCTTCTCGCTGTGTCACATTAGACACCCTGGTTATCAAAGTGATCGTATCGCTATGGTATGTCTCATAATTATGATCAAACTGTTATCTAACATTCCTGGAGCATTCTTTTTTTCAATACTTAATACCTTTTATTCCTTGGCCTCATGCATGAATTATGCTGTGTATGTGAAGAGGCTTAAAGTTTGTTTCCATTACATTCTTTCTGAATGGATCCTGTTGTATCTAGGATTTTTTTAAAGCCAAGTAGGAATGTTATTGTTGACCTTGACACCAGATAACTGGGCAGACATTATATAGCTATGTTTGAATCCTCACAAAATGTGATGCTAAAGCCAACAGAATCCTGGCGTGAGACCCTCCTGGACAGCAGAGTTATGGAGCTTTTCTTTACAGTAAGTTTCTTTCTTCAACTTTCATAGTCCAGACCACAGGGAAAGCAGCTCCTTCATGTTCTAAATCTGTATTGTTGGACTCTTCCTTTTGCATCAGGTAGGACTGATTCTGTTAACTTCAGCTTGCTTATCAGAGCAGACAGAAGTATTGTCTTTTTCCTAGGTTTCTGAATATGTATTTTGCTTATTAATTGCTTTAAAATGATTACCATTAACAAGAGAAAAAGGTGTGTAGTTATCTAAACTTTTCTACATTTATTACTTCTGGACACTTATCAGACAAAACCAAAAGCATGATGAACAGTGGTAGAGTATCTTTCAGATAAGGTGTAACAGCTCTCAGAAAAGATCAAATGAGGAGTTTGTGTTTGTTGATCTTAACGCATTTGCTCAATGGAACAGCTGAAAATAAGTAATGTAGTTGTAGGTTTTTAGCCAGTTGCAGCATACAGAATTCTGCATCTCTTCCCCCGCACAGAGTTAAAACACAGTAAGTTAGGAGGGATGACGAAGAGGTAGCATTGGAAGAGGGTAATGTAATACTCCATTTCTACAACTTAAAACCCCACAGTATTAAAACTGGATAAAACTAGTATTGTTTTCTTTCTACAACTGTTGGGAGAAGTCTGTAGTCTTTGGTCAGATAGGAGTTACTACAGCAGCAACATATGTTGGCTTATAAATTCATTTACTATGCAGTTTAACTTAGATCTCTTGGGACCTAGGAATTCAGCGTTCTCAGGCTTTTTTCACTTGAAAAGCAGAGAAATAATTTGATCTAAACTTGGACAAAGGTGTTATTAGACAATGTAAACGTAACATTTACAGACTCCATTGCTGCTTGACAGTATGTGTTTGGATACATGTCCTTGCTTTATAGCAGTTTTTGACAAATTTAATTTTTGTAAAAATTTTTTTACTGTAAGTTTCTCTGTTCCAGCAGTTTTGAAAAGGTGAAAAAATCACTGGCAAAACTCTTTGCAGCTACACACAATCTGAACAGCTGTCTAGACTATCCAGACAGTTGCTACTGTCAGCTGTGAACCTCCACATGCAAATAACTTTTTGGTTTACATGTTAACCCTTCCTCGTTTAAGAGTATGAAGCTGTCAGGGTTAGGTATCTGTTTCTTTGATTGGTTTACAATTACTTATTCGTGTTAAGAAAAATGCTTTGAATAACATGCAGAATTGTTTCAATACAGTTGCATTTTACTTAATAGAAACCAAAACTTGCCTGTATTCAATTATTTATGAATGCATGCTAGCCAGGACAGTCGGTTTTAGATTCCTGATTTGCAGTGGTTGAGGCTCGTAGCAGTAGTTTGCTGTTTGAAGTAGTGTAAGTAAATGGTAGTAACTTTTATTCATTTATCTGATCTGAGCAACTTTAATTACCTTGCAAAAGTTGGCAGGACTGTCATGTCAAAGCGAGAGCCTTCAATTCTAGTTTTGGTTTTAGATTCCTGATTTGCAGTGGTTGAGGCTCGTAGCAGTAGTTTGCTGTTTGAAGTAGTGTAAGTAAATGGTAGTAACTTTTATTCATTTATCTGATCTGAGCAACTTTAATTACCTTGCAAAAGTTGGCAGGACTGTCATGTCAAAGCGAGAGCCTTCAATTCTAATCTCAGCCTCCTGTGGGACGTGTATTAGGAGGGATATTTCTGTTGCAGGGTTTGTTTCTCCTGCTAGTTTGATCTTTCAGGGATTAACTGTGCAGCTAATCCAGCTAGTTATGAGTTGGGTGAACCATAATGCCACAGAGGATTGGTTAGTGTTTTAACAATACTTTTATGTGTAATATTGCCAAAATAATTTAGTTAAATTTGCTTCTGGGTGAAAAAGCTACTCTGTATTTTTGTTTATTTATTCAGTAAATCTTATGTGAAAAAATAGGAGGCATGAGCGTGAGGAAATTATTTAAATCCATACTTGACAATTAAAATAAGTATGTGATGATTACTGGAATATTAAGATTTGAATCTAGAAAATCTCAACAACAGAAGTAATGACATAACAGTTGGCAGAAATGCAGGAAGATTACTGTTGGCCTTGTATAATATAAGGGTGTTGCCAAGGAAGTGATGCATTCATTTTTGTGTAGATCTTCAGTGTTTACCTCTGCTAAAGAAGCATCTCTATAATCTTGATTGAACTTGTTGACTAACTTTAGCAAGACTCTATGGCCTAGGCATAGTTAGCATAATAGAGATGACTGTCATTATTGCTGTTTTTAGAAGGAGCAGCATGTCTGACTGGCTGGCATCTGTTTCTCTCTGTAAGACATAACATTCAGTAGACAGTTCAATTTTCAACATGTAGGTGAGCCTTAACTAAATGTTAGTTTCAGTGAGTTAACTCCAGGCTTGTGGCTGTGTGAGCTGAGTCACGATCTTGACGTTTCCTATGGTGTAGAGAGTTGTAGAAACCCTTGCATTTCAGACTGGATGGAAGTTGTAGTAAGCTTTTTTTGGTGTGTTCTCTTTTGGATTGAGAGCCATGTGACTGTTGTAAGAACACCCTATTTTTGTGTATTATTAACTACCTCACTTCCTGAAAGGTACATCGAAAAATCAGAGAAGATACAGATATGGCCCAAGACTCATTACAGTGTCTGGCACAGCTGGCATCTCTGCACGGGCCAGTCTTTCCTGATGAAGGTTCACAAGTTGATTACCTGGCACACTTCATTGAGGGATTACTGAATACTATCAATGGGTATGTATGCTTGCTCTCTAAATTTAGATGGCATCTTTTAGTCTTTAGTTTGGAGTGTGGAGAAGTGGCATGGCTTGGTTATTTCTGGGTATAATTTGTGCTTACTGTTGGCTTGCTTAAATCAAGACAAGGTAGTTTAAAGTAGGTGGTGCTTACATAATGTGAAATAGACTTACTGATTGCAAATTTATCAACAAAACACTTTTAGCATTTTTCTTAACGGCAAAACCCTCCTATTTCTATCTGTAGAATTGAAATAGAAGACTCCGAAGCAGTGGGGATTTCCAGTATTATCAGCAACCTGATAACTGTGTTTCCTCGCAATATTTTAACGGCCATTCCAAATGAACTTTTCTCTTCATTTGTTAACTGCCTTGCACACCTCACCTGTTCTTTTGGAAGAAGTGCTGCCTTGGAAGAAGTGGTAAGTAGCTGCTTGCAAATAGCAGGTAGTCTTTTTTGTTTCTCTCTCTGTGATAAGCCTAACTGACATGAGAATTTGACTGTTTTGTTAGTAGTTGTTGTGAATTCAGTGATTTCAGATATTTCTGAAATATCTGAAATCAGTGATTTCAGATATTTCTGAAATCACATCCGAGAGGCTTTTCTTTTTGTTTCAGACAATGTAATGAACATAATTATACACTGTGTGCATCTTTCAGACTTTGTTTTGATTGAAAGCACTTGTCTCACCTTTTTAATTTAAAAAAATGACTTAATTAAAAAATATTAAAGTCTTTGAATATTGCTGACATGCTGTTGTAGGACTTCTCCGAAACCTGTTGTAGGTAATGAATAAGCCTACAGTCCTGAACATGTGAACAGACTGAAACTTAACTGTGGTCAAGGGTTCCAAGTCAGGAGTTCCTGTTTTAAGTCAATGTAACTGTTAAGATCTGTTGTTAGCCCCATACTTGTAAGCTGTTCAAATCATCTCTTCGTTGTGACACAGGTCAAATGATAATTCTGTGTACAAATCTAGCACAGGAAATCAGAGGATTTTTTTTTCTGTTTACTTCTTTCAAACTTTGGCTATGACATTAAAGAGCAGTTGGGATAGTCTAAGTCTTCTGCTTCTAAAAATTGCATTAAAAATAAAAACTTCTAAGGAGACCTAGTTTATATAAAAAGAACCCCGTAAGAATTAAGGCAAATATTCTTGCACTTCAGCTGTTTCTGTGCAGTAGCTATAGATTTAGAATGAGACTATCAAGATACTAAGCAATATTGCTCCTCCATTGTCATAAGAAAGTATGTAAGTTTTGCCAATTTTGCTATAAAGACCAAGCTTAATGACCTGAGTTTGAATATACTTATAGAAGTATTTACTTACAAAGTTGATGGACGTGGTTCTTTACCAGAGATCACAGGTGTGTTAATTCATTGCAGAGTATTTCATCATGTCTTCGCTGCAAAGCTAAAATGTATTACCTTTGGCCCAGTGCTCGCTTAAACTTTCAGGTTTTTTCGTGTCTTAATCAAATGACTGGTGATTAAATTTAGAGTCTAAAATACAACTGCTTTCCAAACCTTATTGGTCAAAACTTGCCCTGCTTTTGAGATTTTGTAGTAGAACATTGAACATAAGTTCTGGTCCACACCGATACATTTAGGAATACGCCTGAAGCTTTTATACGAAAGATTCAGCAAAACCACAGACAACTGTTATTTAAGTTCAAGGAACTAAAGGGTTTCCTCTTGTTACTTGAGAGCTAGAATATATGACCGTGGTTCATGAAAAGAGTGCTCAACATAATGCTGTTTAAAGCACACAGTCTCTCAGCAAAATCTTGCAGTAGCTTGTACCACTATGTGGTACAAAGTTTGCTTTGGAAATGACTGGCTAGTTATACTGGCTAGCCTAGTATACTATGGCTGCTACACTTACTTAATCCCATAGTTTTTACTGAAAAAAGTCCTGCAGTATTAAATGCTCTCTGATTCAACAACATCAGAAAGAGACAATGCAAGATTTTTTTTCTTTGAGAGAATTTTCTCACTGTCCTTGAATCTTTAAATCATCCTGTGGAAAGAGAAGCATTATACTTTCAGCCGTTCTGTTGTGTTATCACTCTAGTAGGTGTCACAACTTCATGTGGTTTCTCTGATTTTCAGGGTGATACAGAATTGTGGTGATGTGACTTCAAAACAATAATGCTTACACCTTAACAGTATGTCAGCAATAAGGTGTGCTGCTGAGACTTTCAAGTTACTGCTAGTTTAATCCTGATGGTGTAATGATACCGTGTGCTGTGCCTGTAGAAGTATTCCTTTGCATCCCTGAAAACTGTATTTTGGCTTAGCAATGTCCCAGCCATGGCTATGTATTCCCTAAGCTTCTTGCTTAGAATGCGTGTGTGATACCTCCGGTGAGTTCATGTGCTGTCAGTATTTAAGAGCTTTTTGATAGATAGAACACTGTGTGTGTAGAGTCCTCAGATAATATTCCTGGAGCTTTTCAGAAATACAAAGTGCAGCAGAATGCAGGCAGGCATACTACTTAAGCTCTACTGGTTGGAAAAGCTGATTTCCCCATATTTCTGCCACTACATATGCCAGCAGAACATCCCATGGGAACACTGCAGAAATCCCGTCAGGCACAAGGAATCTACTTAGCTGAAGACCTGCTATGGAAACTGTCAAAATATGGAGGTCTGAATCAAAATATGGAAACCACTTCAAAGTATCTGATACTGATTTTCAGCCAAGGGGGAAAAACCCACAATCCAAACATCATGTTCAAACGCTGTTTCACATTAACCTGTCTGTTGGGGTCAGGGAGATTGGCTGAAGGAAGCTGAGACTTTTGCCTGAACAGCTATGCTGGTGGAGGGAGGGCAGTAAACTTCAGCAGTGCTGGGGGGTAGTTTATATTGTGCAAGTTGGACCAGTTATTTCTTCCTTTAACGGCCGTGGGTCTGAGAGAAGATTCTTATCCACAGCTATGCTCTGCCCTGCTCAACACTTGTGCTTACACAGAAGTAGAAATCATATAGTCCTTCTGAATTAACGGAGAGTATGAACAGGATGTTGGATGAAAAGTCAAATAGAAATAGGCTTCTTTTTCTTAAAATGCATCTTAATGCACTGTTACTGTTTCATGATATTTTTAAAAATATCATGTGATGGCAGAGGTCATTCTGAGTTTAGTCCTGTCTGTTGTGCTTCCAACTCTTTC